TCCTTGCCCACACATTCGCACTCACCTTTAGTTTAACGCAAATCGACATAACAATGTTCTTTGGACATTTCTACATTGCCAATGCTCGCTCAGTTTTGCTGCATATTAGTTGACAGGTCCACCCTCCTTGTTGTACATTCAAACTCCAAAGTTTTGTAGGGTCACCTGGCCATCAGCTATCTCATACCTTGAAATTTGTGTTTGCAGAGCCTTTGATCCTGGGCATCCCCACACACTTGCCCAGCCACCCTTTGTTCCTTGAGGACTACATAATGTCCTCTGCAGCCTTGAATGCCCAGTTGCAGAAGAGTAGAGGAGAGGCACTGGTGCTCGAGGAGCTGCATTCTCCCAGCTTCAATGATGTCAACGCTCCCCCTGCTCAGCAGTCTGGAGGTCACAGTGGCCAGACTGGGACTTCTGGGGCTGGTGAGGCTGCTGGGACACATCGTATGGTGGCAACTGTGCTGTGGCAGCTGTTTGCCAAGCAATGGACAGATAGCAGTAATTTCCCTGCATTGTTGATATGCTCCAAGGTACATCATGTGGGGAAATGTAGCACAAGCATGGATGTTGTATGGCCGGTTCTCTACCTTTACTGACAGGCATTGCTCACGGGTAATATGGGTGCACTACAGTATATGTGGCAAGCAAGCCTGGCATCTACCATTCGCCTAATCATGATGTTGCATCTTCTTCAGATAGCGAGCTCTCCCTGGACAGTCTGACGTCCCTGCAGTCCATGGTGCGTGGTGCATGGCAGCTTGCACGTGTCATCCAACTTGGGCAGTCTCCAGGCAACATCGTTGGTGGGGTGGCCGTGGGTGGCAGTGCGGCAGAGCTGCCAGGTGAGTTTGGCTACTGAACAGCTGAGCGAGCACATCACTTCACTCCACTTGATAGGTTTTGTACATTGATCAAAGAGTCTTGCACTCACCTTCAGCTTGTCCAGCACCATATGCTGGTGGGCGATGAGCACCTAATTGATAGAGAATTGAGTTGTGCAGTGCAACACCCTGCCGGGCGGTATTGGTTTTACACGCTGTGCTATGCGACAGTATATCTGCAACAGTTTGTTTGGAATCCCTGGGCGATCAGCTTGAACTGTGAGGGGGGGCAGCAAATACAGTGTGCCATTGCACGTTAGGTCGAGCCAGTTCTGCAATGCCATGTTGCGGAAAATGGCCAGGGACTGATGTGATGAGGATTGGCAGCTGACTTGTTGCCACGCCTCCCCCAGCGATGGTGCTTTATTGTCAGCGAATTGGTCAGAGAAACAGTCACATCAAAGCCTTTGATCTGTTGAGAAAGAGGGAAAGGGGAGGTGGGGCGGGGTGGGGCGGGGTGGGGTGGGGCTTGGTAGCCTTGTGTTGTCAGTTTTAAACAATGGCAGCGCAGTTTGGATGAATGCTACTGGAATGGCAATCTGTTTTGGAATTAAGCCCATCTTGTTGCCACCAAAGAATGTCAAGACTATGTCTGCTGTCAGGAATATGCAACAACGATACATGCTGCAAAATGTAGTTCTGCGCAATGAATGCAGTGCAATGCGCTGTGTGGTGCCTGCACCTGACGGGGGCGCTGTTTGACAGATGTTCATTCGCTACTGAGGACGGGCTCCAGCGTGGGCGTGACCACCGTTGTGCAGGTGGATGAGGAGATGCTGCAGCTGGGAAAATCGCGACGGGCCACAGGGGAGCCTCGAGAGGGCAGCAAGTCTGTGGTCTTCAGCATGGGGCTCACCTTCAACCTCTCCAAGGCATTCGGTGAGTGTGAGGCAAGGACAACATTGGGAACACACAGTGCGTGTATGCCCACAATCGCGCACAGGTTGCAAAGGTGGTATTCAGAATTTTCTGGCGAATGTAATCCAGTGGATTGTTACCCTTGGACTATTAGCGGCTGGGCTCAGTGCAGATTATGGTTGATTGAAAGGAAAGTCGCTGGCGTTGCATGTTGGCCTGTGGCTAGCTGTGGGCACAAGCAATGATGCCAAGGGTAGGAAGTGAAGAAGAGATGAAAGATGAACTGACAGTTGTTTATGTGAGAGACACGCTGAGAATACCTGTGTTAATTACTAAAAGTGGATAAAATGTGCATGAAGACCAATTGTTCATGTGCTGATAAGGGCTGAAGATGGTGCACAGAAGTAGACTGGCATTGTGAAGAAAAAGGGACTCCAAGTGTGCAATAGCATCACGGAATTGGCGATTGGTACTGGCCACAAAAAATTGTGATGAAGTGATCAGGATGCTTTGCGGCCTGTACTTTGTAGGTTGGTGGCTGAACACTAGGCTGCTTGTGTCTGCCAGTAATATTGGTTTGGATTCAGCGGGCACGTAGTACGGGGTTGTTTGGAGTTATAGAGAATCAGCATGCTGAGCTGTTCATGGGTCATGCATTCGCAGCTCCAAAGTTCAGCTGTTTAAACACCTTGATGTTGCGATAAGTTGTCTTTGGGACACGCATGCGCGCCTGCTCACCACTACTTGTGTACTTTACATCAAGGAGTATATACATAGTTTTCGGATGTTTCCAGGCTTCCATCTGGTTGGATGCGGTAAGAAATTTACATATGAGAGTGCTCCGAATACGTGAGCCCAGGTGCACCTAGTTGCCCATAATGGGATGTGGCGACACCATGCATCGTAACTAGGCACTCTTGCATTGAGAAATCCCAGACTTGCACATAAAGGGCTGGTTTCTGTGCCTGGAGGCCAGTTGGTACGCTCCATGATGTTTTCCAGAAACGTCATTCAGTTCTGTGTTATTCAGATGTCTATTGATCACTGGATTGAGTGCTTTTGGCCCTACTCCAGAAGCATCTTCTCCACTGCGCTGGCACCACATTTCACCGATTGGTTTCAACCGCTAAGCTGGTGCGCGGTTGTGCAGAGGGGGCAGCTTCGAAATGCGCAACGAACAGCACGATAGCTTTTCTGGGCAGCGCCAGTCAGCCCAGCTGTCGCCATCCCTGCCCACGTGACAACCTGTTTTTGCATTGCTGAGGCTTGCCGCCGATGAAAAACGTGCCCACTCTGGCCCATTCGCGGCGCAGCCTGGTGGCCGTTGCGCCACACCGGTTGTCCCCATAATATAGTGCGGGGACTCAATGAGCACGTACTCTTTGAGCTCCCGCACGGCCTATCCACCCAAATGGCTGGAAGTGAACCAGATGGCTGGAAGCGGCTAGAATGAAACACGAGTGAAACGAACTAGGGAAACGGATGCTTCTCTGTGTGTGTGTGTGTGTGTGTGTTGTATGGGAGCGGTAGAAACACCAATCACCAGCCAGGCAAAATGCCAATGAAATACATGAGGGGTGTGTGTGTGTGTGCAGGCAAGTGCCATGGAGACAATGGTCTGGTCCCCTTGGAGCCCGAAGGGGACAAGGGCCGCGGTGTGCTGCTGGTGGGCAACCTGGGCTTTGGAAAGGACCAGTCGGTAATGAGTCCGCCGTCCGTAGGCTTTGGCGACATCTCCAGCCTCGCTGGCGGCCTTCCTGCAGAGACCAGGGCCAAGCTGCTATCGCGCAGCGACCCGACCCTTCATGGCAGTGGTCCAAATTGACGGAACTGCCGGTGGGTCTTGTGGAATTTGCTTGATCTGACCCGACCTGGTGTGACGTTGGCAGCCAGCGACTTGACGCTATATGGCGATTGCATGCGGTTGTGACTGCACCGTCGTGGCATTATCTGGGGGCATGTGCAGGGGTGGCGGAAAGTTTCGACTTTATTGGGTACCACGCAAATTTGCCCTGGCTGAAAAGCGATCCGAGCGTGTTTCTTGGGCATGCTCCACCCGAATGCGCCGTCGTTGTTGTAGCTGTTGCTATTCATGTTACATTGGGTGTCGACGCCATGCAGTTTGCAAGTGTCTTCGCTGACTGCTAGAATGTGGGGCACTTCTAGACACAATGGATTCCGATCCTTTACGAATGGGGATTGAAGCCATCCATGATGAATCGGAGCAAGGGTGTGGTGGATGGTTGGTGAGCTTGCGGAGGTGCATACCTGGTGCCTTCACCTTTTGACAGATGCTGTCCGCTGCCACATCGAATGGCGGTCGGCCATCCCCTCCACTCTTTCTTTATCTCATTGCCATGAAGGTCCTCGCTGAGCGCCGGGTATTTGCATCGATTTGATGGGCAGGTGGTGCGCTGATTTGTGAACATACAAACAAGGTATTGATATCTGAGGCTGACACAATGCTCTCCTTGGTGGCCCCGTCCTTCACCAAAGCTTCGCATACCCGGTAGCATGATTGACGTCGACTGCCATCATTGTTTGTCATCATCCACGCAGACAATATTGCGTATTTCACGCACTTTCCGTCCGTGTTTACATCGCTTTTACAGCTAAAAATCGTGTGCACCAGTGAGGCGTTGCATCTTGTCCGCACGGGACAATGCCGTTGAGCTGCAGTTTCGTCGGGGCCATGTTACACCAGCTACTGTAGTACATTAAGCCCTTCCAGCATGGTAACGCAACGCTTGGCCTTTTTGTGCGGAGCAACGTAAAAAAAACAAAAACAACGCTCTGAAAAGCAAAGTGCGGAGCAAAAAGCGTAGCGGTAAAATTTTACGATGCGGAAGGGCTGAACACTTTACTCTATGTGCGGTCCAGCGACCGTGCGTGCTACTTTGGCTTCCTCCTACCGCCTCGTAAGTCGCAGCGGTTCGTTCTTGTCATAGCCAACGCCGGTCTTGCACTGTCGCTGCAGATCAGTATCGCCGTGACCATGCAGCGCTCGCCATATGTGTGTATTTTTTTAATTATTATTTTTTTGAATTCCAATGCATAACATGCTGATCTAAGCAATGTACATGTATGTGTATATGCCGTGATGCCGGTATTCGCCGTTAGGGGCCCATGCGACGCGCAGTGCCCAGCCGATGTTCAGCGGTCCATATCCACACCGGACCTGCCGTGGAGGCGCCGGCGGCCGGCAACGAGCCAAACGGAGTCGGTGCCCACCGGTGCCAGCAGCCAAGTCTTCACATTTTAACGTACATTGTCTAACCCGCCGTACCGTCGCGTTCTCGCCGTTGCCCGCCCGCCACAGCAGCAACGCACCGCTCGTTCCTTACCCGCGATCCCCGTCTCCGCCATCCCCGTCTCTACCTCTCCCAAGCCGCCAAAAGTGCACAGGCGTGGCCTGCACGCACTCTCGGAAGCAGTGCTCTGCGCGCATGTGTGCGTCGTCCAAGGCACGTTCATCCCAAGCGCAACACTCCCTTCCTTACCCCGTGCCCCACACCCTCCATTATTGGCCTCCAAGGCCATCACACGGAACCCTCCCACGTCCCTGGGAGGAGCGTGCGGGGTGCAAAGTTCCTGCCCACGGGTTTGCAGCGGCGCAGGATCAATCCAACCCATCGAGTCTTGCCCCACAGCGCCCACAAGCATGGCAACCCTCACGGTCACCCACAAATCATGTCCAGTACCATCGGCCCCATCGCACATCCCAATCACTGAAGATGCCTGCCGCCATCCAAAGACAGCCCCTCTTTCCAAGACAACGAGTTTTGCTTATTCCCTGTTAACAGGAGTCCTGATCCCAAAACACAAATGCAGCACACGCAGCTGAGCTGCCAAGCTCGCTACCAAGGCACTGAGGCAAGGCGAAACAGACATCGGCCCTAAGATAAGCACCATCGTCACATTAGGGATCCGCTGCATGGGGATCTTGTTGCCTTCTCACCAAACATCGGCGAGCCTCATGCTCCAATGCCTTGTTCAATTCCACACAAGCACTCCCCCCGAGCTTTCCCAGAGGCACCGCCCCAACGCGACTGACAATGGTGAGTCCTTCCCCTAACGCTTTTTGCCCACAATGCTGCGCCCATTCAGAACACAATGAGCAAGACGGCCCCCTGTTGTGCACCACCTGCAAAAAAGATCTCGTACATTGGGCTCCCAGCTGGTTGGCACCCTGTGAGGACCAAAGATTCGACTGTTTTCCCGGGAAAGCCCTCCCCAACCCCCGACCCACCCCACCTTTCTCTATACAAAATAACACGCACCTACATATTAAATCCACCCAGAAAGCCCCCTTCCCTTTTCCATCTCGTTCCTGAAACCACGTGTTGTTGTCATCTCCCCCCATAACATTCAGTGTCAATAAAATCGGCGGTGGGAGGCAGATTCTTAAGCCTCAACGCACAATTCTACACAAGCACAACGATGTGCCTTGCCGTGGCCACGCTTATGCTTGCGCTCCACCCCCCGAACCCCCTCCACCAAAGTGAAAAATAATCAGGAGAATGGCGCTCTGTTATCCTCACACAAATAATCAACCCAGTACTGTCAGTCAATCGGTAACTAAGTTGCCAGCGGACTTAACTACGTCCATACTTCAGACAGATCTGAGCAAACAACAGAACTGCCTGCTTTGCATTAGCCTGATTGTCCACACACCCTCATCAGTCAACCCTAGAACACATGTGCAGCACTTATCTATCGACAGGCGATGCTGGCATTGCTGTCTCACAGCACATAGTGCAAGCCAATAGCTGTTGGCCGAGCAACCATGCCCTGCGAATACAACCCCTGCCAGGCACACCACTCCGCCCCAACCCCTCTCCCCCAACCCCTCCCCTGTCCCAGCTAAGCAAGCTCGCAATCAAGAGATCACACAGCAGCCAGTCTTGGTCTTGGTGACCTGCTGCGCTGCGAGCTCGGACCTGAGACTGTGGATCTGCCCCTCCAAGTCCTGCACGCAGCCAAGGCGTCCATCAGACGCTTGAACATGCCATAACAACCGAATTCCCAGCAGGGCTGCTGTATCAATGGAGCTATTTTATTCATATGGCCACTGCTGGCATTTGCCCTGCCTGTCAACGGCAGACAACAACCACTGCTAAATGTTGGATGCAAATACTTGCCAGTCAAGTAGGGAAAAGATGTGAGGAGGGATGCAAGAAAGTGTGGCCACCACATCACTTGCAAACAGCCAAACCATACCTTCCACAGCAAGAGGACTCACTTGGAGGTTGAGAGGCGCAGCGAGTCAAAACTGGCTTAGGCTAAAGCACAGTACGTACCAACTTCAATGCAAGAAAGTGATTGGTGCACCTGAGTTTGCCAAGGTGCACCTGAATTCCCTAAAGTGCAGCCATAATGTGCCTCCTCACCTGCACCCTTCCTGTGAGCCTGTGGTTTGCTGTTCTGCTGTCTGTGTAACCGTCGAGCGCTGATGCACCTCCTGGCACAAGCTCCAAGAGGGCCTCAACCTACAAGAAGGGTGTCCATCAACGCCTCCACTGTCCCCAGACCGGTCAAAAGCTTGCTGATCATCGGTGACAGCTATGGCAGTACTGACAAGAGCAAATGGCCAGGCCTTGACGTGGCAAAGAGCATTAAAACAGTTCCAATTGCAGGTGTGCAGCTGAATGCGGAAATCCCCATTGTCAAACGCTGAATAAAAACATATCCAAGGACACTTCAGGCCAGGCCTGCAGCAGGACGCATTCATTGCAAAGGAGCAATCAGAAGTGGCTGTGTGCCCCAGCTCATGGCCATGTGGCACCATGACCAGGTTCCTATAACACACCCTACCTTCTGCTCCAGGCTACGCATTTTGGTCTTGTGCTCTTCTTGAACCTCACACAGCTGGCGGCGATGGTTTTCCTCCTCAAGGGCCATACGCCTGTGCACAATCACACCAGCACACGCATGTCTCCATATCCACAAACCATTTTAAGATTCTGTCTCCCCAGCTGTGGAAGAAATCAAGGCATCTCAGACACTTGCTTCTATCCTGATGTGTGAGTATTACGGCAACAGCTCAGTACACACTTTGTTCCTTGTGGATACACACCAACAATGTGGCATTTGCCTCATAAAGTGCTTGTCCTTCCTTTGGACAACTGAAAACATGAAACACAAGGCAACATCATGGATTCCAGTTGAAGCTCATCCGTTCAAAGTCCAGTGCAGTGTCTCAGATTGCGGAGACTAAACACTGGCATGTGCATTGATTGGCCACAATAACAAATGAAGGAATGCACACACAGCGAACTCACCTCAGGTCAAGGATCTTTGACTCGCGTTCAGACAGCTCCCTTTCCTGTTCTGCCTTGCGGTTCAGTTGTGCTTCCATATGTTCTGTGTACAGCTTTTCAACTCGGTCTGAGCGCTTTGCAGTCCTGTCTACTTGACTCTGTACACACAGAGCCACAAAAAGTGCTTCAGCTCAATTGCCGTGAGTACATATACATATCTCACTGACATCTTCCTGTTGCTGTAAATGATTGGAGATAATCGAAAGTGTGGCTTCAATTGAGTGCGTGGTAGTTTGCCCACCAGCACCTGCAATGGTGCAAGTGCTACATTTCGTTGCCTTTGAGCAATGAAATCCAAGGAAATCTAACAACAGCCCACATGGTAGCATTTTTGATGCTCGCAATCATTTGACCACAACGTGAGTAGGAACTCAGCAATGTGCAATACATTGATTTCCGAACATGATTTGGGATTGCACTTGTCAAGATGATACGCCTGCTAGCAGACTTTTATACGCCTGCTAGCAGACTTATCCCCGATATCGCTTTGGAGGTGTAAGCCAAAACCCTTGCCCTTTATGACAAATGTTGTCAAATGGAGGGCCTCCAGTAGCCACATTTGTATTGGCTGTCCCACCATCATCCAGAACCTGGACTCAGTGTAGGCTGCCCCCCCCCCCCCCCCCCCCCCTCCCCCTTTGAAACATGATTACCAAATTTTTGGCAATTTGAACAGTCAAGACATTGCGCTTTCATGTGTGCTGTCAACCTGACTGAATCCCCTCTCTTCTGACAACACAGCACGGACATGTCTCGCTGCAGCTCAACACTGTAATGCTGCCAACAGAAAACGAAAAGTGAAGCGAAACTGGCCAAGACAAGGTGGCTGATGACTAAGACTTGGCTTCAGTCAGCAGCGAACCTCCAAAGGCATTACCTGCAAAGTCTCCAGCTGGTGAGCAAGCTCAGTGACCTGGCTCAACACAACACCAGTAGCATCTTTGTCCTTGTTGCTGGTCGACTCCACAGCGCTGGTCTCAATCCTACCAACTCGTGCGCGCAGCTGTTCAAATGCACACCCACAGGACATGTCAGCACCTGACATGTCGATCCCACTGCCTTTCAATGCACCGAAACCAACAATCAGCTGCAGTTTCCAAAGTGGAAATGTGCTTGCCATTGCCTGCAGTGTGCAAAGGCTGTGTCCAACGATGTGCAGGCAAATGCAGCATCGCCGTTCCCAACAGCAGCCACACCTATAGCAGCACAAACAATGCCAACCCTTCCACCGGCACGGGGTGGTGACGGGGTGGTTATACAGCACACTGCTCTGTTCTGTACGGTGTCAGAGCAGGTAGGGGTCTAAAGGCATGACTCAATGTCACGTTGGCTTCGTGCGAAAAGTAAGGAACTTCAAATTCAATTCAGCACTTACACTGGAGATCTGCTTCTGCAGCTCTGCATTGTCTTCCAGGGAATTCTGTATTTGCTGGGTTGCGCGGGTGAGCTTGTCAGCCTGCACGCCAACCCCAACCAGCAAATCCAATCATTGTCTGTAGTACAGCAGAACCCAAAGCAACGACCTCCCAAACAACCACAGCAACACCACTGTAACACTGCAGAGAAGCTGTACAGTCCAATACTTCCATTACACAGTTTGCACATTTTTGCATTCAGATATATGTTGCTGAGGGATCCGCATTGTGTTCCAGACCACATATGGACACAAGCTCTTGCGCACGTTGTTGCAGCTTTCACACTAGCCCACCACTGCTCCCTCGGCAACGATACCCTTGCTAATCTTGCCACGCAAGTCCCAAGAGTTCATTGTGCTTGTGGAGAATTTTCCACTAACTTGACTATCTCAAAATCTCTGAAATGTTTGCGCTGGAGGGAGGGTGCACAGAAGGGGGGCTGCACAGGAAGGGGACTGCACAAGGGGGGGGCGTGCACAGGGGAAGGCTGCACCGGGAGGGCTGCACGGGGATGGGGGGGGGGGTGAAGGGTGCACAGGAGGGGGGCTGCACAGGAGGGGGGCTGCACAGGAGGGGGGCTGCACAGGAGGGGGGCTGCACAGGAGGGGGGCTGCACAGGAGGGGCGCTGCACATGACCTCCTTCATTCATGGTTGCGCTAATCGGCAACACACGCTACATTCACTTCATTCATCTTTTGAAGCATCAACTTCAAGACAAACCAAAGGCACACGATCGATTGGCAATGCACCATGACTCACCTGCTCAACATGTCTGGCCCTCAGCTCCTCCCTGTCAGCACAATGTCCCTCCTCCTCTTCCAGATCCTTCACACGACTGTCCAGCAGGTCCAACTGGCTCTGCACCGACTCACGCCAGGACTGCACTGCCCACTGAAAGTGGTCATACTGGTCTTTGGAGCGCCGTGCATCCTTGCCCAGCTCCTGCACCTGGGGCCGCACCTCGCGGAGATGGGACTCATGCAGTGAGAGCCGCTGGTCCAACTCTGCAAGCTGTCTGTTGGGGACAACAGAGCACATCGTTGTTATCTTGTTGAGAACACTTGCCCTCACATCGGGACAGCAGTGTCCATGTGTGCCCAGGGCAGTAACCGGACAAATTTGGTGCCCTTTTCGTTACCTTGCAAGTGGCAACTGGGATGTTCAGTTCATTGCAAGCTCGCGACTGCTTCGAAAGATGTGCATTTTTCCTTCTGCTGCCCGTGCTTTGCACTCATGGGTGGGCTTTAGGCTGATGGCTAGGAATCGGGTGGATGGCCAGGGTTTGAGCTATTGGCCATGCTTTGGGCTGCAGGTCGGGTATTGGGCAGTTGACCTTTGGCTGGGTTTCGCAGTGCTGGTTGAGATTTGGCTGTTGGCCACGTTTTGGGTGCATTGACAGTTGACTGGGTTGGCCGCTCTGTCTGTGCCTGATTTCCACAGTGAAGTGGAATGGGCTCCTGTAGTTTGGGCTTTGTAACGTGACATCCAATTTGCCAAGTGGCTGCAATTCTTGGGACGCTGGCAGGGCCTTCTGAGACTGTGAACGTAGGCCTTTCCTTTGGACATTGGTTTCTGGCATGTTCAGGCGTCAGTTGCATGGGGCAACAACTTGATGAATTCCTAACAATGAACCAGCTCCTACAGGACTCCCTGAGTGCTTTGTTTCACTGCTTACAACGCTGCGTCTGTTCTATTCGCAAGCCATTGGAGCTGGAGACTCTACATCACCCCTTTGCAGCAAAGGAGCCCCACACACATGTGCTTGGGAGGGGATGCCCATCGCAGGGAGTGTTTTCTGCTGTTACCGATCTTTTCTTGATGTTGATCTCTTCTCAGCCGCAATCTTTGCCACCTTTTGTGTGCTGTGTGTGTGCATCCTTGATGCAGGCAAATCCTTCCCCAACCCATGCAATTACTGCAGGAGTACAACGAAGTGTGGGAACAGCAAGAGCAGATCTTTCATTTTGTAGGTATCTGTGCATTGGTCATTCAGGCTGAATGGCGGATGAAACGTGCCAGCTGCATAATGTTGCCATGCACATTATGACAATTTTTGAGCAATGCCAAAGAGGTCGCTTTAAGTTTCCTCATCAGCAAGTTTGTCACCTGTCATGCCCATCGATCTCCACCTGGACCTCGCCTGACTCTTCCTTGCTCTGGGCAAACGCATCCTCGAACAACTCCATCCTGCTGTGCAGCTCCTTCAGCTCACGGTGCAGCTCTGGCAGGCTCTTGGTGGCCATCCTGGGTGAGGCCTTTGCCTTCATCGACTCGCGAGACAGCGATTTCTGTGCCAGTGAGTTCTGCAGCACGATGCTCCTGCTGCGCGTGGCGTTCTGCGTCTGGCCCCGTCCTTGCTGCTGCGATTTGGGTTCTGGCGATGATGCCCGCCTGCGAGCGCTGAGTGGCTGCGGCGTGGCAGGCGCCCCGTTTTGCTTGGGCTCGGGAGAGGAAGACTGCCGGCCCCGTCGTCTTGCACTCAGTGGCCGGGGCGACACAGGGGCCGTGCTCTGCTTCGAATCTGGAGATGAGCTTGATATCCGGGAGTTTTTCCTTGCGCTGAGAGGCTGTCCATTCAGGGAAGCCTGCCGCAGGCTCTTCCAGCTGTCTGACTGGCCACGCGGGGTGCGTGGCTTGGCTGCCTCCTGCGGAGTGCTTGGCTTGCTCTTCAAGAGGTCAATGAGAGTCTCAAAATGCTCTGGGACGTACTCGATGGGCGTATGGCCTTCCTGCAGGAAAACAGCCAGAAAAGACAGTGAACACAGGAGCATGGCTTTGTGAGCGGTGCCGATGCCAGTGTTTGAGGTGACCTGCAATGATATCACCCCTGACAATATTCGCCAAACAAATATGTTTGGGATGCTACACCATGAAATTCTTCCCAGCCTAGTTTGTTACCGTCAACATTTCGCCTGTGCATGCTCAAGGTGGTGGAGCACAGTTCTCAGCAGACCTTGACATGCAATGGTCAATTTTGCTGAATGCACTACAATGTCCTTGGCATACAGGTCACAGTCTCTGTCTTGCTGCATATGCTGATGCTGCTGTCCCGCATTGCACATGAACACAACAGTTGCTACATTGTCGGCAACCACGCAACAGTGAACAATGCTTGCTACCCCTGCCCACCTTGTCTTTCACATCAGTCTTTGCACCCGCGGCCAAAAGCTCTTTCACGACATCCTCCAGACCTCCGAGCACAGCGACGTGTAGTGGCGTCTGGCCGTCCCTGTTCTTGATCCGCACAGTTGCGTTTCGCCCTGGACCCAGAAGCTGTTGGACCGTCTCCACACTGCCACTATCACACGCAAGATGCAGGGGAGTGTTGCCAAAGCGGTCCTGTGCTTCGTGGCGGGCACTGTGCTGCAGCAGTTGCTTGACTATGTGATCGAAACCATGCCAGGAAGCCACATGCAGCGGCGTCCTGTTCTCCTGCAGAGGCCCAAGCCAAAGAGTAACTGCGGCAGTGGATGCACAGGTTGCAACGAAAGCCGATGTCAACAATACGACTGTGCTGCCAACTCATATCATGGGCCTTTGTGTTTCTCTCCCACTACTCGTCCTACTCTGTTTTCGCCTATGACTCCTATTGCGTACACAAACTTCATCATCATCATCATCACAGGTACAGAACCAACAGTTGTGCACAAATGCTGGCTCTTGGGGGGGCACTGAATGGCATGTTTTCGTTTTGTTTTCTGTTCATTCCTTTTCGCTCGAAGATGCATGGTCGCCACAAACTTTGATTCGAGACATGCATGCGCCCATCACGCTCACTGAAATTAGGCTCCATGCCTTAGCCAAAGAACCCAAATCCAGAAAGCACTGGAGCCTCAACCTGAAACTCTTCCTCAGCTGAGTGACCACAGGCCAGGTTCCAACTCAGGGACGGGTTGTGCAAGCACTGCTATGCTGAATGAAGATCAATGCGCTTTGGCTATGGTACACTCTGGAGTAGCCTAGTTGTTGTGAAAGAGGAACGTGGCTGGCTTCACTGGCATTCATCCTGTCCATAACAGTAGTAATCCTTGTAGGTTGGCAGCAACTGCTCCACAAACACTGGATGAGATAAGGTTCGTCTCTTTGGCACCATCTCTCAGAAGCAGCCACGCACTTGTTCTCTGCAGTACTAACATGCTTCTGTGATGCGACTAATGTCTTGATTTCATGTTGGTGCGTGCGCTATGCAGGAATTATCAGTTCAATTCAGTCACGTGCTTATGCAGGAGGCAGGCAACAGCCACAACTGCGAAGTTGCCAGCAGAAAGTTGTCCATTGCCTGATTCACCCGACCCTGCAGCGGTTCTGGCGGAGGCAAATGGGAAACGTTTCATATTGCACACAACACACATGCTGTCCAATCCGGAGTTTCAGTACTGTCTGGGTGCGGGGTTTGAAATTCCTACCCCTGCATTCACGATATTGACGCAGTTGGGGTTGGAAGCCAGCAGCTTCCTCACTGCCACCAGGTTGCCCCTCTCCACCTCCCTAAACACCTGCTGTGACATCTTGTCCTACTGGCCTGTGCACGCCCCACAACACTGTGAGGGTTGCCCTGTATTGGGCCACAATCATTTCGAAGTTGATGGACAGTTGCCAATGTAGCTGTGCGAAGCTGCAGGTGGGCATGGAACTAGTTCTTGCGCTTTGGGCATATGTGTTTTTGTCCCCTCCCCGCCCCTCTCCCGCCTCCCTTGCTGCTGCGCTTTGGGAGCCCGGAAACGCACCAGTGCTTTGTCACGTTTTCGTCCGCGGCGTACTCAAGTTAGCTCTACTGCCACCAAAGCACGCAAGCCACCACATCCCAGGTCATCCAAAGTCTGCGCATGCCAGTACGACAGATTCCCACAAACCGCAACGAGCACAGCGCAGCAGGCATGCCACCGAGCATACAGCCCGCGTATTCGGCGCCATGCACGCGAGACGCAGCCACGGCCACACGAGCAGCTGCAAACCGAAAGCAATGCGCGATCCAGACAGAGGTCACGGGGACATGGCGACACGCCCTCTGCAACGAGCCACGTCACCGTCCCGCGCTCCCCGCCTCAGGGAACGCAGCCGGTGGTAAGCGCGAAAGGAAGCGGCATTATTCCCCACAGGAGGAGATACGAACGGCCCAGCCCAACACGCGCAGCGCCGGCTTTGCGGGCGTCCCCCCCGGAGACGGGGGTCCGCGCATTGATCACACCCGCGTCGCCGACGCGCACCGCGTTGAGGTTTGGGCGCCGGCGGCAGGCGGCGGGACGGCGAGGGAGCGCCCACTGGCACCCGAGAAGGTGATCGGGTGCCGGCGCCGCGCTCTGAGGAGTCCGGCGACCACCCGCCGGGCGGGCAGGACGGCCCGACGGCGATGAGCCCACAAGGGTTTCGGGGAGGGCGCCGTGGAGGCAAGGGGGTGCCCACCGCCGCCGGTGAGCTCGCGGCCGGCTTCCTTCGAGTCCGATTCAGCGCTCCACGCGCGGCGCGGCCGCATCTGAGCGCTCGGGTCGGGCCCCCGACAGGCCAAGGGCCGGGGCCATGGTGGGCGCGGCCAACGGTGCACGCCAGCAATCACCCCCGCGCGACGCGATCAGCAGCCGCGCGCTTCGAAAGCTGCGCCCGCACCGACATTCGCAACAGAAACACCCCCCCGCGACCGCCGGGCCCCAACCACGTCAAGTCGGCCCGTCATCAGCGCGCGTCATCCAGCACGCAGCCCAAAACCCTGGACGCCGATCACCAAACACTCTCCCCGCCACTGACCCCTCCCCGCGTCCATTCCCCCGTCTCCATGCCAGCCTCGCATAAGCCCCGATCCCCGTCTTCCAACCTGGGCTCACAATCTCCCCACCCCTTTTGCCCCTTCGCGGCGCTCGTGTTGTGCGCTCAGCCGCTTGGGAGCCCCCCCCACCATCGCCTCACCGCAGGGCACAGAGTCCCACACACACTTCCTTTAGATCTCTGCCCTGGTGTACGACATGCCTTTTTCCTTCGGTGCGCAACAACCCCTCCTTCCCCTCTCTTCCTCTTTGCGGGTGTCAATGCTTCCAGCTGCTCTGGGACTGCCAGTTATCGTCACATCGCACGGCACAGAGCCTCACGCACGCCCAATCAACAGGCCACTCCTTGCGCATGAAACAATACCCCCCCCCTTCCCCTTTGCGCCGTTGGCCAAAACCACCTCGCGGAACGCCCAAAGGCCGTCCTGGGCAGCCTCCCCGCCCGTGCCCCCGCCACTTCCTCCCTGCTCCGCCGATCGCCCGGCCAGCCGAGCAGCGCCGCGCTCCGGTCTCCTGGCGCGCCCCTCGCTGGGCCGCCGCTGGGCGCGTCGTGCAGCTTGACGGGCGGCCGGCGGATGCGTGGTGGGCCCCTCAAGGCCGAGGTGCGGGACAGGCGCCAGGGCGGGGGGGACGCACCCCTGCGCTCCTCCCCCACCCTATGCGGCTCTCAAGGTTTAGGAGAGCCGGCCCAGTGGAAGGGGCGGTACTTTGTGCAGTAGTATCATCATCATTTGTTGCAGAAGCCGCCAGTTGTGCAGCATCAGGGGTCTCATGGCCGCGGTACTGGGAAGCACAAATGGGAAATCAGCGTGGGTCGAGCTGGGGCGCGGGGCTCGTAACTTGTGGCGTATCAGGTCTCCTGGGCGCGGTGTCGGGAGGTGCGAAGGGGGATCCGTGCGTCTGGTGGGTTGCGTTTTGGAGGGCAAGTGTTCGGGGGTGGCCAGTAGCATGCGGCAATAGTTTGTGTCGTGTCAGGCGTCTCACGGGCGGAGTACTGGGAAGCACAACACGGGATCTCTGTGTGTTTTTGGTGGGCTTTAAGGGGAGCGGTTGCGATTCGGGGTGGCTTGGGGGGCATACAATTTCTGGCTGCACTATATCGGTGACTCTCTGCACTAAATCGGTGACTGCTTGCACCAACTCCCTCCAAAACTTACCTATCCTAAACCCTAAACCCTAAACCCTAAAACTAAACCTGCCCTAAACCTAACCTTAACCCTAAAACTCACTCTAAAACTAAACCTAACCCAGAAACTGAGGTTAGGACATAGTGTTCACGTGATTTGGTGCAAGCAGTCACCGATTTGGTGCAGGCAGTAATACTATTTCGGCTTGGGGGTTGGGCGTTGATGCGGGTGGGACTGTTTTCAGGTGTTTGCATGGAACAGCGCTGCGGGTGGCCTCTGCGTGATCGGGTGTGCCGCGCGCCAGGGAGGGGCCGGCGCGAGAGAATGTTGGCGATCGGCTGAGGGGAGTGGGATGTGGCGGGGATTGTCAGACTGGCTTCGTGGGTCAGGTGACTATTTGTCAGGGATGCATTCGCTGCGGCAGCCGTTGGACTTCCGTGGACCAATGTGGCTGATCAAGGCAATGAGGCGGCCGCCAGCGCCCCGTTTCAGCCAGAAAGAGCGGTGCCAACGGCTGTTGGTCCCCAGCCTCATCGCGCTGATGCGCAATGTTTGACTTGATTGATGGACCAATAGTTTGACCAATTGACCGACCAGTTGACGGCAGTTCATCGAGTGTCGCCGTCTGTGCAGCGCTGGTTAGTACTTGGTCGGCGTACTTGTTCGCCCTTTCTATGACCTGTTTCTCTTGGTTGCAACGCATCTCCCGCCCCCCTCTCTTAAAGTCATGCGTTTTCTTCATGCCCTGACAGTGCTTGACTAAAATCAGTACTTCAGTACATAGTACAAATACTGAACGACAGTGGTGTGAAGGTTCTACAGGCGTTTGTTGGGGTCGTCGCAGTACCCTTCAGTCCAGCCTACCAAACCTGAAAGTTGGCCTCGGGCCTTGCGCTGCTCACCGCTACACACTAGTAAAAAAAGGACCAAATAACACTTTTGCGAACACACATAAAACGCATTTCATCAAAGTTGTGAATGCTAAGAACACAAAAATAACACAAACCCGTAAACATTGTACACGTTTGAACACGTGTCATTTGGTCCTTTTCTTCCTAGTGACATGGGCCCGCAAAACGCCCCAAATCGCCACACGATATGGCGGGATTTCGGGCCCCAATGCTCTTGCCCAAAATCGCGCCTACTCAAGCAACACTGTTTTTCAAAACTATTTTCTCAGCCCGGATTGGCGGCCACTGCCACTGCCAACAGCGCATGATTTTCAATTCCCTGTCGCGCATGATTGTCCCACGACAATCCTTACCGACTCTGAATCCTACCCACCCCGGTTTCTCCCTATTAAACAATCCCCGTCGTTTCATGTGTCAATTGTCAAGTCGTTACCCACTACGCAGCCAATGACAGGGCGTCGGTCGCCAGAAGGCGGCCGCTGATCAGCCTCTAGCATATGTCACCGATCACACGATTCTGTGCTGCTCTGGACCGCCAACGGACCGTGCGCCCTACTCTTTACCTTGTCCCATGGACTTGCACCCACGGACAGCAACCCGCCATGAGTGACATAGCAATCCTTGAACTTAGTTCACGCCCAAAAATTCTGACAGCAGACATCTGTGGTGGAGACGCAATTTTTGGTCCGGAAAACTAGTTCAAAAGAACTTCTGAGGTCAGAAAAGGCAATTTCTACATTGGTAGTGGTGATCGGATTGCTAGAAGTTACGGGGAAAAGCCTGGTGGCCACAGTTGAGCCTCAGCTCTCCGACAAGAATCCCATCGCTCACGACATCGATGTCTGATATCAGGACGACAGCTATGGATTTCGAATCGTGTAGTGTTGTTGTGCTCAGAGGCGATGCTCAAATGGACACAGGGGATATCTCAACACATTGCAGATCAAGAAGTTCACAATCTGACAATTGGCGATGCGGCCACATCCATAAAAATCTGTGCAACCGGACTTCCAATTTACATGACTGCGGCTGCATTTTCCATTGACCAACAGACTTACCATCAATTTCGCATTTCTTCAGTCTTAGTTTGGACAACCCAAATATTGAAGCTTAGCTATTCTCCTACTGTTTCAAACAGTCTATTTGTCGGTACATAATAATGCAAAGGCAAACGGTCCATTCTGCCCATTATCCCTGGGAATGGAGCAGCAAAGTCGCTCCTGAACAGGTAGCTGGGCCTTGTCGACAGCCTCAACTTGAATTGAGGGTGCACAGGATGGCCAAGACTTTACCCCTCACGCGAGCCAGCTCTTCACGAAGCGCTGCTTGTCACGACGGCCACCACCCCCAAAAGCATCAGCAAAGCTTTTGGAACATCTCAAACGTGCATCAGAGGTCCATAATCAGGCCATACACGGAAACGCCCTTGTAGAGTTTTGCCCAAACTGCTGCCCAAACTACTGCAAATAGTCGCAACCGCTTAGAAGACAGAGAATTCTCTACACCAGTCAACGGGTCACGGGTCAGGATGGCGTTGTCCACAACGCCGCGGCTTATAACAGGGGAGGGCTTCTCTCCGCCTTGGCAAGGCTGTGCAGCGACACAAGGCGTACAACACTGGCCGGCATTACGACCGCTCTGGAGGCGCTCGCCGTAAACGGCAAGGAAAACGGCTCAGACTGGCTGTTATACTAGAAAGGGTCGAGCGCTA